ATGCAGCATCTCTGTCTGAAATTGTATTTATAAAGCTCATATAACATTGTTTTTAAAAATAAGTCTTCCACCCCAAACGAAATATTCTAAAATGGCTGTAGTAATTTAGAAACCTGCCTATTATGAAACACAATCTGTAATGTCGCTTGTGTTTGATTAAATTCCATCTACTCACTCAGCGGTTCTGTTTAAATTTATATTTATATAGCTTACAAAAAAATAAAAAATAAAATTCAAAATAAGTCCTCCGACCCCAAACGCCAAATTGCAAAGTGGTTGTACTAATTTAGAAACCTAACTATTATGTAACACATTCTGAAATGTCGCTTGTGTTTTATTAAATTCTACATTCCCATGCAATAGCTCTGTTTCACATTATATGTGTACAGCTCCTATAAGATACACAAATATTTTGCTAGATTATGCACAGCAATTAACAATAAAATGTATCGCAATAGGATGCAATGTATAGAATCACATACAGAAATTTTATTTAGCTCATGATCTCAGTCCTTTGTAACCTTGACAACCGTTTACATTCCTGAGAAACATTTCAATTATTTTCAGTCAAATTGTTTGCATATTTTTACAAACCTTATATGTGTGTATATATATGAATGTATATTATTAATATATATCAATATCTATATTACACACATTTTACAATATTCCGTTTTTTTCCGTTTTCACTGTCTTTTTATCTCAGATATCCTCTTAGGGCCGGTACACATCCGCTCTACCAGACGAGTAGCTATCGCATAGTAGCCGTCATGATGCCGTTCATGTCCCCGACCCATACCCTGGGGCCAGTTCGGGCAGGTGGTTTTGGTATTCTTTGTGGACACAAACAGCTCTAAAGCCCAGTGCCAGAAAAAAGGTGGCATTTTCTCAGGTGCGTCATTGGGTTACCTGTGGGATGACATCCTGTTATACACTGTAAAATTTTTAGTGTCAGTCATGGTAATGCTAAAACCACTGTCAGGGAATGAGTGTCTTGTAAAAGTGTTTGTGTCATTCAAGCAATCTATTTTCAAATTATATTTTATTTTAAAAGCATGACATTCAAAGTAGGGGTAGGTGTTGATTATAAATTGTATGATGGTATAATGCATTAAAAATATAGTAGAATGATTTTAAATGTACTGTATTCCATGAATATTGAGCTACATAAAAGAAACTATTTTTTTTTTTAAATGTTTTTTTTTTCTAATTTAGAATTTACACTTGGGCACGTCACAAGCGGATTAAATTTAGTTTATGTATGTCACTGAGCACATTAATGCGTCCAACATGCCCTAAGAAATATCCTTCCCCCGTTTAAAAAGTCTGGTAAAAACATTGAGCTCCTCTTGATCTGGAAATAATCAAACATTTTCTTGCACGCACGCTTCCAAGACCCCTCCACCTATAAACATTTTTTGGCAACCTCGATTTTCGCCCTACTTCTCGGTGAAAATGATTTCCGCTTTTTGGTGCCGATGAATAGACTGGCTAGTGGCGTAGCTGATATTAGTGACGTCATGGGGGATCAAAGATTTATGCCGCTCTCCACGCCATGATACAAACTCTATCCGTAAATGCCACACCTGCATGTAAAGAAAATGTGATACCTTGGTGGATCACTCAATCCGCTATTTTTCTAAACCCCTAGCAGTGGTGTATTTAGAGTGTTTAGCTTCAGGGGACAAGAGTCATTTTGCGTCCTCCCCCCAAACTCTGAAACCCATTAATTTCAACCAACAATTACCTTCAAAGCCCATTATCGAGCTTTGAAAATCTGGCGCCTTAGAAGGTATGTTCCATCTGCCTCCCTTTAGCAACGCCTCTGGCCGGTGCCCACAGGGACTCCACCCCCCCCTAAAATATGAAATGCCCCGACCCATGTGAAAATGTCTGAGAGAAACACTGTTGGGGAATTAAAGACATAAATACGTTTCTTAACATCCATTTGCTTCCAATAAAATATTACTGGAAAAAATGGAGTTACTTCTAAACTCCAAATATGTAACATATAATACTTTATTTTCCTTCTTAGCTGTCATCATTTTTATCATCCCGACAGTCCGCAATGAATCTCCTCTGACAGTCTACTCGGCGGCCATGAAACTTGGATTTCGCCAGCACGTCCAGCAGCTATGCTCCTCTCCACACTGTGTGGGTTCTTTGGTCATCTATCTCAACAGTGCGGCCTTGAATGGCGGATCAATTCTGCTTTGGGATGTCCATCAAAATGACATCGTTAGTACCGCAGTTCTCTGTCTCTTTCTCTCTCTATATATAAATAAACACCGACATCTTGGAGTACAGACATAAATGATAACTCTACCAAGCGGCTGACTAGGAAATATGTTTATTAACGTGTGTATGAAATCAATAAATAATAGGATGAATTATACTTTTGGAAAACACGATGGTAATAGTAGGTATATAATATGGAACTTTCTCATTTGTCCAGCATTACATCAGGAGATTTTTTTAGAAATGTATTTAACATTTGAGTCGTTGTGTGTTTATAACGTGTTGTGTGTTTGTAGCGTGTTGTGTGTTTGTAGCGTGTTGTGTGTTTGTAGCGTGTTGTGTGGAGATATTCAAGGGTTCATTTCAGCATTTAGCTCTTTTCAATCCGGTGATTTGGGATAACTTTGTTTGTTTTATTCTTAATTAAAAATATAATAGACCCCCCCCCCTATTTTTTAACAGCTCGTGGTGGGAATATGTCCTACTGATCAAATGACAAGTCCGAGGACTGGGAGAAACACATTTTGGATGAACAGATGGTTGGCCTCGCACGGTGTTCTGCCAAACAGATCGTGCTCCTGGTTGACCAGAGCTACCCCGGTGAGATTGCCAAGGTGCTTAAAGAGTCAGTCGAGCATAACAACACGATGGTGCTCACTATTGGGAAGGAACTTGAATATTCTTATACCAGTGATTTTTTTTCTTCATTTCTGGTCCAAGCAAAGTGACAAGCGTCCTTGCGTAACTGATATATTCAAGGTATTTATCGTGCATTTGGAGGAAAAAAAATAATCATCGACACTATTTTGTGGGTAATTATTTTATCAGGTGAAAAAAAAATTCACATTATGGGACTTTATATTAAAGCAAATTTTAGACAAAAATATAACACTGACTCTCTAATGAGCTTAAAATCTAAATGCAGTGTTAAAATCTTTCTCCAGAGGATTTTAGCCCCATGTTAAAATTTGAAATTTACATTCGCTTTTAATAATCTTTTTAGAAGTTTATTTGATTTTTTTTTACGTGTTACAGGAAAGCAGTGTTATGACAGAACATTCGATACCTTTGATGCTGAATCCTTGGAATATTCGGTAAACGCTCTCTGGAGCACCATGTGACGTCAGGCCAGATTTTCTTACCGGTAACTGCGACGGGAATACTTTGGGTGTGAAAATCTTTCAATGGCTGTTTTGGGTCCAGGCAAATTGATGAGAACATTCGGGACACCGTTGTTTGGGTACAGGGAAATTTATAAGAACATTTTAATACCGGACACCGCTGTTTGGGTACAGGGAAATTTATGAGAATATTTTAAAAGTGGGACACCGCTGTTTGGGTACAGGGAAATTTATGAGAATATTTTAATAGTGGAACACTGCTGTTTGGGTATACGGAAATTTATTAGAACATTTTAATAGTGGGACACCGCTGTTTGGGTACAGGGAAATTTATGAGAATATTTTAATACCGGGACACCGCTGTTTGGGTAGGGGGAAATTTATCAGAACATTTTAATACTGGACACCGCTTTTTGGTTACAGGGAAATTTATGAGAAAATTTTAATACCGGACACCGCTGTTTGGATACAGGGTTATTTATGAGAGCATTTTAATATTGGACACCGTAAAGTAACATTGTGTTATTCAAGTTTGTCTAATGTGTTACTCTTAATTTAACATCGTTGAAGTGAAGTTGAACATTTTAATATTTTATGCTAAAATAGAAGTTCTAATAGATTTATGGTACTAAGAAGAAGTAAATATTTCCTACACCCATCAAAGAGTTACCCTTATTGTTATATTAGCCACCCCTTTACCATTCTCCAGATTTGACTTTATTCTTGAACTGATTCCCTCATGAATATATTTGCATCAGATATTGTAAAATAACAAATAAAAACAATTTGCTTACTAACTGATTAGCAAGAAAATGTGCGACCATGTTTATGTTTGACCGTAGAGCGCAAATCTTCAAATTATATGATGCTAACTGATACACTTTTATACAATGTTGGTAGTAAACCTATATGTTGTAGTGTTTAAGAGTAGACAGTTATGTTTTATGCTAAACCTGTTTAATGCGATCTGACCTGATGTGTCAGCCTAAACCCGTTTTTTTTATATTTCACATATCTTTTACTATGGACTAAAGACAATTTATTGGAACAATTAGAAAAGCTCTGCATTTATAGGGTTGTTTAAAATGCTGCCATGACCTATGCAATTACTTACAAGCAGCTATTACTTTTATGTTTGTGTCGTACATTTATCATGAATCAAAGTTATTTTCAATACCTGATGTTAAGAACATCATGAAATACAAGTCTTTAGTTTAAAACAATCAGAACGTGGAGTAAATATGATTTTTTTAAAAATAATTCAAAGTAATATAACTCAACACATAATGGTTCTATAAAATAATGTTTCAATTGTATTTTTTTTTAAAATACTAGCAACAACAAAAATAAGCAAAATTTCCATATTATTTAACATGTATAACCATCTTGAAGCAGCTTAAATACAATTCAGTCATTCTTATAGCGATAGATCTGAGATGGAAGTAGATTACTATACGGAGAAATGCTTCTATTCCTGTAGCTTTAAACCATCATTGCAATATGGCGACGGTCTGCATTTTGTCATATTCTTTAAATAGCAAGTGATGTATTTATATCGGTCAACATAAAAAAATTAACAACAGATAACAAAAATTAGTGTTGTGGTAAGTCATCTCAGCACCTGGATTCTTTTAGCGCAGATCAATTATCGAGCAAGCTCAAGTCGAGCTCACACGAGCAAGAGGATTTAACCCGGATGTAGTCAAGCCGGAAGCGCTCCGACACGTTAAAGTCTCTCACAAAGGCGTACACGTAGCTGAACTTTTGCGCACATCGCGACGCATGCTGATATTCGTTTTTTATGTAGTGACAAGGTTGATCGAGGACATCGGCTTTGCAAGCCGTCTGGATGAATTTTTGTACCGTGCTTTCATGTCGGTAGATTTCCAGCAGCTTCCCGCCTCGTGAGACGCCTCCACGAGGGGCGATGAAGTGAGTTTCTGAGGGGCAGCATTCCACGAGGGCAGGTACGTCCACTTTTGCTGCAATTCCCTTGGAAATATTAAAGAACTCCCTGGAAAGACAATTAAAAAAAACTTTTTCAGACATCATTTATAACTTAGGATTTCCAGCATTTTCAGACCTTCCTATTCACTTTTGTGTCTTTTTTTGGTTTGGCAAACCATAATTATATGTTTTAACTTAGACCGAGTCTTTCTGTTCAACGCCGAGCCATTGAGACCTAATCTTATTGTTCAACGCCGAGCCATTTAGACCTAATCTTATAGTTCAACACTATGCCAAACAGACCCAGTCTTAATATTCAACGCAACACCATTGAGAGCCAGTTTGAATGTTCAACGTCACGCAACTTAAACCGAGTCTGAATATTCAATGCCCCAGCAATAAGACCAAGTCTTAAAGTTCAAAGCTGTGCCATTTAGACTCAGTGTTAACTGTCATCGCAACGCCATTTAGATGCAATCTTAAAGTCCAACGCAATGCCAATTAGACCCAGCCTGAATGTTCAACGCCGAGCCCAAATAGACCCAGTCTTAACTTTAAACGGCACAAAATTTAGACCCAATCTTCATGCTCAACCCCGTGCAATTTTTACCCAATCTCAATATTCAAAGTGCCTTGAAATTTAGAACCAGTCTAAATGTTCAACGCTGCCCATACTTAAAGCCCGACAGAATTTTCAATTCTGCGCTATTTAGACCCAACTTAATGTACAACGCCAAGCAATTTATACCCAGTCTTAATGTTAAACGCTGAACCCTTGAAACCTAATCTTAATGTTCAACGGCATGCCATTTAGACCCATTATCACTGTTAAACGATGCACCATTTAGTCCCAGTTTTAACATTTAACGCCACGCAATTGAGACCCAGTCTGAATGTTCAACGCCGTGCCATTTAGAACCTGTCATAATGTTAAACGCCACGCTTTTAAGACCCAAAATTAATGTTCAAAGCTTTTCATTTAGACCTATTCTTAATGTTAAACGCAACACCATTTAGACCCATTTAGCGCCACAAAATTTAGACCCATTCTTAACTTTTAACGTTATGACATTTAGACCCAATCTTAATGTTCAACGCCGCTACAAATTAAAGCCCGTCAGAATTGTCAACGCTGTGCTATTTAGACTCACATGTTATTTTTAACATAGCACCATTTAAACCTAGTCATAACTTTTAACGGCATACCATTTAGACCCAATCTTAATGTTTAACCCCACGCAATTGAGACCCAATTTTTATGTTCAACGCCCCACCATTTAGACGCACACTTTATGTTTAACTCAGTTCCATTTAGAACAAGTCTTAATGTTCATTGCTTCGCCATTTAGACCCAGTCTTAACTTTCGACACCACGCCATTGAGACCCAGTCTTAACTTTCGACACCACGCCATTGAGACCCAGTCTTAACTTTCGACACCACGCCATTTAGACCCAGTCTTAACTTTTGACACCACGCCATTTAGACCCAGTCTTAACTTTCGACACCACGCTATTTAGACCCAGTCTTAACTTTCGACACCACGCCATTTAGACCCAGTCTTAACTTTCGACACCACGCCATTTAGACCCAGTCTTAATGTTCAACGCCGCACCATTTAGACAAACACCGAGACATTTCCGCCCAATCTTAAAATTCCACTCGACGCCGTTTAGACCCAATGTTAATTTTCAATACCGCGCCAATAAGACCCAGTCGAAATGTTCAACGCCACGCCATTTAAAACCAGTATGAATGTTCAAAGCTGCGCTATTTAGATCCATTCTTAACTTTCAACGCCACGCCATTTAGACCCAGTCTGAATTTTCAACGACGCGCCAATAAGACCCAGTCTGATTATTCAACGACGCGCCAATTCGAGCCAGTCTGAATATTCAACGACGCGCCAATTAGACCCAGTCTGAATGTACAACGACGCGCCAATTAGACCCAACTTAATATTCAAAGCGACGCCATTTAGACCTATTCTTTATGTTAAACAGCGCACCATTCACATTTCTAATTTTTAGATATCAATTTTGTTTCGTAAAAATAATGTATTATTTTGTTAAATAGAAATAAAAGGAAATTAAGGGATTATGGGATGGAATAGAGAAGAGTTAACTGTCCAGGCTGTTGGCAAGGATTCAGATATATTTGGCGCTGGACATGTTTATTCTTGTTTTTGATCAATATCTTAATATTGATTTTTTGAAGTGTAACGAAGAAGTGACAAGGTTGGCAAGGATTCATATATATTTGGCTTTGGCCATGTTTAATCTAGTTATTGATCAATATCTTAATATTGAATAATGAAGGAGAGGAAAGTTGGAATGAAAGATAATGTTTAGTTGACACCTCGTGTCTGGACTTTGAAAATCCTCACACTTGACCACATCATTCTGGTCATCTTGTCCACCCACAACCATGCTCAGGCCTACACAATTAAGTGGAAAAAAGGAAAAGGATACTGTTATAAAACGAATGCGGTGACAGGTTGATATCGGAAGAAATACAGAGATCACTAACATTTCAAGAGATACAGTACTGTTAAAAGTGACGTGCAGAAGGTAATATTTAAATCGTAGGTGATTCTGACACTGTTTAAAATGACAGGACATCCGTGACTAGTCAAATTTAAAGGATATCAGTGACTTGTCAAAGCGACTGGGCATCAGGTACTTGGCAAAGTGACAGGGCATTAGTGATTTGGCAAAAAGAGAAGGCATCAGTGACTTGACAAATTGTCAGCAATACAGTTACTGGGACAAGTGACAAGGTATCAATGAATGTGCAAATTACAAGATATCAGTGACTGGACCAAGTGACATGGCATCAGTGATTTGGCAAAAAGAGGAGGCATCAGTGACTTGACATAATATCAAGAATTGAGTTACTGGGAAAGGTGAGAATGCGTCAGTGAATGTATAACTTACATGATATCAGTGACTGGGCAAAGTGGCAGGTATCAGTTACTTGGAAATATTAAAGCGCATCATTTGCAGTGCTAATTAGGCAAGAAATGAATGACGTGTCAAAGTGAGAGGGTATCAGTGACCAGTTAAAATTAAACAGCATCAGTGACTGAGGCTCAATAAGGGGGCATCAGTGATTTGGCCAATTGACAGCGCATAAGTGACTGGGTTAAATTAGATGGCATTAGGGACTGGGAAAGTTACAGGGCATCAGTGACTGTAAAATTAAAGGGCATTTGTTTGGGCTAAATAAAACGGCAACAATGACTGTGCAAGTTGACAGGGCATAAGTGACTGTGTAAAATAAGAGGCATCAGTGACTGGGCTAAGTGACTGGACCTCAGTGACTGAGAAAAAATAGAGGATAGCAGTGACTGGGCAAAGCGAAAGGGAATCACTGTTTGGGTACAATTAGATGGCGTCATTGACTGTGAAAAATTACAGGGCATCAATGACTCGGTAAAATTAAAGGGGTCAGTGACTGTTCAAGGTGACAGTGCGTCGGTGACTGGGCTCAATGGCAGGGCATCATTGACTGAGCAAAATCACAGGGCATCAGTGAATAGGAAAATTGTCAGGGCATCAGTTTCTGGGCAAAGTGAAAGACCATCACATACTGGGCAAGTGAAAGGCATCAGTGACTTTAAAAAAAATTAAAGGGCATCAGTGAGAGTGCTATTGACAAGACATCACTGAAGTGGAAAAATGACAGGGTATAAGTTATTGTGTAAAACTAAAGGGCATCAGTGAATTGGCTAAATGACAAGGTATCTGTGATTTGCCTTAGCGTTGCGTAATCAGAGAATGTGTAAAATTAAAGGGCATCAGTAACTGGGCTAAATGACGTGGCATTAGTGAATAGGCTACGTTACACGTCATCAGTGAATATGTAAAATTAAAGTGCTTTATTTTTAACTGGGCTAAGGACAGGGCATCAGTGACTGAGCTAAGTTGCAAGTCATCTATTATTGTGTAAAAATAAGGGCATCAGCGAGTGATGAAAAACATGGCATCAGTAACTAGGCAAAGTGACAAGACATAAGTGACCGGGCAAAATTATATGGCATCAGTGACTGAAGAAAGGAACAAGGCATCATTAACTTGGCAAATGACATGGCGTCAGTGACTGTGAGAAATTTTTGGGCGTCACTTTATGGGGAAAATGAACAGAGATTCACTGACTGGGCAAAGTGGCAGGAATAAGTGACTTGTAAACATCAAAGGGAATCAGTGACGATGCTAATTGACAAGGCATCACTGTCGTGATAAAGTGACAGGGCATCAGTGACTAAGTAAAACTAAAGGGCACCAGTGGCTGGGCTAAATGAAGCGGAATCATTGACTGGATAAAATTTGAGGTTATCAAAGACTGGACAAAGTTACAGGGCATCAGTTACTGGGTAAAATTAGATCGAATAAGTGACTGGGCAACAATAATGCATCTGTGACTAGGGAAAGTGACAAGACATCAGAGCTAATTTACATGTTATCAGTGACTGAAGAAATTTACAGGGCGTCAGTTTATGTGCAAAGTGTTAGAGCATCACTGACTGGGCAAAAAGCAGTGAATCAATGACTTGGCTAAGTTAAAGGGCATCAGTGACTTATTAAAATTGAAGGGCATTAGTGACAGTGCTATTTGATAAGGCATTAGATACTTTTCAAAGTGACAGGGCATTAATGGCTGTGTAAAACTAAAGGGCATCAGTGACTGGGCTAAATTACAGGACATCAATGATTTGGCTAAATTAAATGTCTCCATGAATGTGTAAAATTAAAAGGCGTCAGTAACTGGGCTAAATTACAGGGCATCATTGACTTGGCAAAAAGACACGTCATCAGTGAATTTGTAAAATTAAAGGGCATCAGTGACTGGGCTAAATGACAGGGCATCGGTGACTTGGCTAAGTTAAACGTCTCAGTGAATGTGTAAATCAAAAGGTGTCAGTGACTGAGCTAAATAACAGGGCATCAGTGACTTGGCTAAGTGATACGTCATTATTTTATGTGTAAATTTAAACGGTTTCAGTGACTG